TTTGCAAACGATGGTTGTAAATGTCCGAATTAATTTTGATGCATTGATTATTTTCCACTTCTCATGGTGCGGGCAATGGAAATGTTTTGGGACTATAGATGTATATTAGGTATCCATATACTGCACTTTGTATAACTGTTAGGCTAAGGTGTCCCTATGCAAAACACATTTTTTTTATCGTGGTTAAAAGATTAAATATAAATAAACTTAATTATTGTGTTAAAACATTAATGTGATTGTGCAATAAAAATTAATTATAACATAATTAATTCAATTAGTTTTTCATGTTAAATTAATTAATTATTGAAGTTAGATGCTTCTATGAACCATTATCGGGTAAAACCTAAGATAATTTTTTTAAAAAACAAAAAAGGAACCAATGTACAAAATAACTAGATTTGAAAGACTCGAGCAATCAAAGAGAAATACCTAGAAATATTTATGTGACCAGAAAATACAATTAATTTAGCTTGAAGAAATGCTACAACAACCAAAAAAAAATTGGGTATTGTATCGCCATATACAACTTCTCGAAAATTTTTATAAAATTTTAATTTTTTGAGTTTTTACGATCGATCAGTTACAAACACTTCAAAAATTAGAACTTCAATTTTAAAAGTTGTAACATGATCCCAAAAATCATAGTTAGTCCCTAAACTCTATTTTTAGTTCTAATTTAGTCGCTGAATTTTCAATTATCTCAATTTAATCAATCAAGTATCAATTTTGTCTCAATTATGTCCTTTTGTCCATTTCACCATTAAACCAAAGCTAAAATGGATTAGATTGACCTACTATCCAATTGATCTAAGATGAAATTGAAAATTCGGCAACAAATTAAAACCAAAGACAAACTCCAAAGATCAATTGGGTAAAAAAGCCTAATTTGGGTAAAACTCAAACTTAAATTTGGGTAAAAAAATCCCAAAACCCTCTCCAATCTTCGACTGAAACTCATTTCAAATAAAGGAAACTCTTTTCTTGACTCGAATTGAGGGAAGATCAAACTCAAACTCAAATTTTATTGTGCCACAAAATATTTGAACAAAACTAAATTCTACTGTTAAATGAATAAATTTCAAGTTCAGAGTCATTATTGTTTTACTCTGTGTTTGATGTAAGCATTACATCATTGCAGTTAGTCTTATAGATGAAAGTGGAATATGTTGCTGGAAACCAACATAGCAAGCAGGCACCAAGCAAGCCACAGGACTGAGATTTTATTCTAGAACTATGCACGAGCTATCTTGCGAGAAACTTTGTAAGTGATTAACTTTGTAAACATTACATCACGTATGATCCAAATAAATAGCATAAATGGAAGAGAGAGAGCAGAGAAATAAACAGGTCACTAATAAGACCCAGCTTACTAAGACAGAAATAGCTCACTCTCTTTGATCCAAATAAATAGCATAAACGAAACCCCCACCACTCTAAACCCAGCTCACTAAGACACCCAATGTGTGTCGCTGGGTGGCTTGTACAGAGCGAGATAAAGGGGGGTTTGGGGCAGAAGGCATTTTTTTTTGGGGGGTTGTTAAATGAGTGTGTGTGTGAGAGAGAGAAAGAGAGAGAGGGCAGAGAAGAGGTGGGGGTAGGCTAAGGGGTTAGTTTGTGTGTGAGAGAGAGAGAGAGAAAGAGAGAGAGAGAGTTGAGGGATACCTAATAGGGGTTAGCAGTGGCCGCGGTGGTAATGTTGCTGACGAAGTGGCAGTGGTGCTGGTGGTGTCGCTGGAGAGAGAGAGAGAGAGAAGGTAAGGACTGACTGGGGGAGGGAAAAAAAAGGAAGAAACAGAAGAGATGAGGAGAGACAGCCTTATCTGATCGATCGAAGCGAGAAAAAAAAAACAGAAGAAAAGATGAAGAAGAGCCAGCACGCATGATCGGTGAGATGACTGGTTGATTGAGAGGTCTGACTTTGACAAAATAGATGAATGAGAAGAAAAGAATTTGGATAAAATGATTGTGACAGTTTGATCAACTTGTTGAATTTTACTATGTTTTATTTTATAGATAATTCTAATTCTATAAAAAATCATGGGAAAAGTTTCAACGAGAGCTTGGACTATTTAAAACACAAGAAACCAAAAGATGTTTAATTAAGAAGAACCTAATGCCTTTGCCACTTTGTTAAGAGCAAAGAAACTATGGAGTGAAGTAAATTCACTTGATAAAATGTTCACAAGGAAGTCCAGCTGAGAATAGGTTTCAGCGATAAAGTCAAAGCACTTTACTGCAACAGGGATTCAAAATAGAGTTGTGATGGTGTCTTCAAGAATGAAAGAGCTGCTATGGGGATATACTAAGGGACACTAACAGGGTAATTTTGGATGGTATTGTAAAGAGAATCACTACGGTATTAAGTTTATATTCTAAAGTTGTTATAGTCATGCAAAACTTGTCTTCTCGCATATACGTCACAACTATAGCATGTTATCATTGAGAGTGACAGTTATCATTGAGAGTGACAATACGGAAGTCATCAAACCGAGTTCAACAAAAGGAATTGCCCCTTGAAAAATCTGCGCCTTTGTTGAAGGCATTAGACACTTCTTCACATCCCTAGATTTTTGGTTTTTACACATGTCGAGAACTCTTAATATAGCGGGTCATTGGGTTGCAACAAATGTGATGTCTAACTGTATTCCGTTGAGTTGTATTAGCTATCTTGAACTTAATGCTTTTCTTTTTTTTTGATTGTAATCAATATTTTTTTTCTTAAATAAAATTATGAGTATTTCTGATAAAAAAATAATAATACGATCAACATAATCGTTAATAGTACTATTAGATTAGACAGGGTCAAAATATAATTTTTTTCTTTTTTTTTTATATCCAACAGTTCCGTACCTTGTTGGTTTTGGCCGTTTACTTTCGCACCCCCTTCGGTGTCCCCATATTCCCGCCCGGGAATGACCGCCATTGTTGTCTTCGACACGTGTTAACATTCCAGTGGTTGTCGACATTGTTGTACACGGTTCAAAGCGTGTGAAAGGTGAAAACTGGGCATGGGCCCCAGTTTTTAATATAAATTTAGATACGTTTAGATACTTTTCTAATTTTATGACACAGAGAGAGCGGATTCTTGGTCTATATAGCTGTTCTATTTCTATATACAGAACCACTGCTTTGTCAACCTTTGAGTTCATTTCTTCAAAGATTCAAGTATTGATCTCATTTCATAACGGCCCAGCAATTTTTCTTGAGCAGTTTCTGGTTTCTCTGGTGAGTCTTTTCATTTTTCTTCCTGTTGATTCCTCTCAGCTTCTGAATTGTTTCAACTTCTCATTCACAGTTGATCTCATTTCCGGTTTTTTTTGTCAAAAACTTTCAAGGCTTCAATTCTTATCGGCCCTGCAATTTCTCAAGCAGTTTCTGGTTTTTTCCTGGTGTGTTTTTCATTTCCTTCATGTTTATCCTTTTCAGTTTCTGAGTAATTTTTGAACTTCCTTTTGAAATGGGTTTATTACAAATCACACTCATATGGGTATATAATTTTGATCCAAGTTACTCTTTGTTTTTGAAGATGGTATTGTTATATTGATGTATTAAGGTGGGATTTCCTTTCTTCTCTCTCTCTTACAGGAGAAGTTTTTGAGTGGTATTTAATGACGGTGAAGACCAATGGATTTGTGGAAGGTAGTCTACCAGAGGAATTGATGAAGATACTTTTATCGTTGGCTTTGAATTGGGGGGATGTTATTGATATGAAAAGATTGAAAGTGATTCATTTAAGTGGTGCTATGACTAATGAGGTTTATCAAATAAGCTGGCCCACAAAGAGGGAAGATGTTATTCAGAATGTTCTGGTTCGGATTTATGGGGAAGGTGTTGAGCTTTTCTTCAACAGGGAAGAGGAGATTCGGACTTTTGAGTGCATATCGCTTCACGGGCACGGACCTCGGCTTCTCAGGCGGTTCCCGGAGGGGAGGGTTGAGGAGTTCATCCATGCCAGGGTATGTGAATATTTGATAAAATGCTATGTATGAAGTCATTTCTATTCTTTTTTCTATCCTAAGTGTTTGAATTTGTTTTTGGTCTGGTGAGAGTTTGAAAGAAGTTCACAAAAGGGTGTGTGAAAGGCTTATAGCGCACCAAGAGATAGAGAGATCTGTAGTGATTTGTTGGAGGGATGGTCAATGATGATTACTATCATAGAATATTGATCTTACTGATGTACTTGAAGATGAAGAATTCACCACCCTCTGGCTTGGTTATTAGGCCAAAAATAACTTGATTTTTGACATTAACTACTGGCTGATAATTATACAAAGAGCCAAAGACTATAAACATTTAGGATAGCTTAGTTCTTCAGAAAAGAAAATGAAATTGGTCATATAGATAGCGGGGTCTGAGAGAAGTAAAGATAGGCAGCATTACCTCTAGTTTGGGTAGGCTGATTCCCTGATGAGAGAAAATGGAGTTTATGCCCAATTAGTGTGTCTTTGGTTTTGTAACTCGGTTCAGTCTTCCAGCTTGAAGCTCTGTAATGCTTGAATAAGCAATACCTTGACCAGCAAAAATTCTAGTCTTATTTTTGTTTTGCATATTATCATCCTCTAAAGAAAATACCAAATGTACTGATAATGGATTGTCACCATGTTTCTTAAATTTTCAGACACTATCAGCAGGGGACCTTCGTGATCCCGAAATATCCACTCTAATAGCAGCAAAAATGAGAGAATTTCATAATCTTGATATGCCTGGTTCGAAAAATGTTGTCCTTTGGGACAGACTGAGGTATTGATTAACTATCAGAACTTGAATTTTGCCCCTTTAAAATTAGTATTTTCTAATGACTGTTTTTATTATCCCACAGAAAATGGCATAGTGAGGCCAAAAAATTGTGCTCAACTGAAAATATAAAGGAATTTAGCTTGGATACATTGGCAGAGGAAATCAATACACTGGAGAGGGAGTTGTCCCAGGACTACCAAGACATTGGGTTTTGTCACAATGATCTTCAATATGGTAACATAATGATTGATGAAAAGACAAGATCCATCACTTTAATAGTGAGTTTTCTAAACCATTACAGTATTGTCCCGTGTCTTTTACGGGTTTAAGTTACAAAAACAGTGTCTTTAGATTCGAGATATGTGGGGGAAAAGTTACAAAAATCCGACTCTCCCCTGACCAGCTAGTGGTGGGAGATTCGTTAACATTCAGTTTCTCTAAATTTGAATCAAACCAATATTTTTTTTGCTTTATGCAGGATTATGAGTATGCTACTTACAATCCTGTGGCCTATGACCTTGCAAACCATTTCTGTGAAATGACAGCAAATTATCACTCTGATCAACCTCATGTTTTAGACTTTAGTATATACCCTGGTAAGACACTGTTGGTATATACAAGGCTCTGTATGCTTCATTACTTCTTTGATTTGTAAGAAAAGTAAAGCTGCATACTTGTGTTAAATTGTTTTGCTCTTCTTTTCTCCTTCTTGACAACAGATTTAGAAGAGCGTCAAAGATTTGTGTGCACATATCTCAGTTCTTCAGGTTGGTCCATATTATTTTTATGTTCGTGTAGATGTTTATCAAAGTACATAAATTTGTTACTAAAAAATCAATATGTCAATCTGTCTACAAATAGAAACAACCTATTTACACACGGGGTAAGGTTTCTGTCTGCCCACACTCGCCATACCTGATGCTTCCTACACTCTGCGGTGTAGGAGTCTCATGCGCTAATTATCCTATGAAGCTTTGTATAACTAACATGTTAATATAGATGTGATTAATCAGTAGATTTTTAGAGATTTCTGTACATGCAAAGAGGGAAAGGGCAATTCTTCTACTAAACTTTTAATTATATGAAACAGCAAAAGTAGGTTAAGGGTTGGGTGTATCTAAAATAAATCAGTTTTCTAATAAACATGGCTTAACGTGGTCCTATAGTTTTTTGTTTAATTAGGATAAAGGGGTTTGGCCATTTTAATACACACAGTCACACACACATAATGCTTAACCAATGGCTTCTTATTATGGCCTTTAAACAACCAAAAGGTCAAGTCTCCTGGTATACTTTTTTTTATTGTTGCCCTATTAATGTTTGGGTTGTTGACATTGACGATGACTTATTCAACAGGATACTTTGTCCTCATCCAACTCTATGCATTTGTTTTCATAAAAAAAAAAAAAAACTATAAGCATTTTGTCAAATTTGATGAATCTATAGAGAACAGATCACGAAGCTTGGGAGAAAACCTGTTTGTGGCTCTGTTTGCCTTTGAATTATTTAATAGTTTTTTGAGCTTTAATGCTAAAAGAGTCGTACTAAGTGCACATAATTCCGACTTATAGCTCGGAGTTTGGAAGAAGTAAGTACTAAGTAGTTTTACCGTTATTTTGGAGAGATTGACTTCTAAGACTCGAACCCACCCGTGATATATTAATTGACTGGATGAGTACATATCATCATCGCTCGACCTTTGATGCTAATATCTTGTACTGAGGGATGAACCTGGTCTTCTTCTGCATTGATGTATGTAGGCCATTGTCCCAGTGACGCTGAAGTAGAGCAGCTTGTCAGAGATATAGAGAAGTACACACTTGCCAACCATTTGTTCTGGGGCCTATGGGGCATTATCTCGGTACCTGCTTTTTTCAGAGGATTTGGTTTTTTGTTGTTTCAATCCTCTATACATGTATGTAGACATGGATATTTGACATGGGTTTGATTGTCTTTCTGATCTGCAGGCATATGTAAACAACATTGAGTTTGATTACACGGAATATGCTAGGCAGAGGTTTCAACAATACTGGTTGAGAAAGCCCCAACTCTTGGGACTCCTCACTTGATGACAACCTGAAAAATTCTGCAGAAATTACTACATGATGAGTGCTTCTGTAATTACGGGATCGTCTAAAAGAAGATGTATGTAATCTTATCTCTACGTGTTGAGAGGCCATTTTTAAACTCGTGACGTACGTAAAAAGACGAGGGTCTCCAAAGTGGCTAATCTTTGTGTTTGAATTTGTGAGACACTTTGGGACCAAGTCATGGTGAATCATGTACCATTATAATAATATGATTGTTTCCTCTGATTTTTCCTTTCCACTATTTCTTTCTAATGTATACAAACAATTTAATTCATGGTGCTCAACAAAAGTGAGACTTTTTGCATTTGATGGTCAAGAAAGACAGTAAAGGACTCTTATATCAAAAGAGTCTTTGTCATAGATTAGGACCAGGATTTTGTGCTTCAAGCAAGCAATACTGGCCAATCAACTTCTTTAATAGTCAAATAACAAATCTGAAAGGACTTTTGATGGCCCTTTTGACTTTTAGGGGAATAGATACAATCTCTCTCTCACACACACAACCCTCAGTTAATTTCATTATAGTATTTAATAAAATGAATTTGATTGGTCAAATTGAGATTCTATTCGTTACAATTTCACTCAATTTTACTTAATGGTACATCATCTACCATGTATGGGTCCAATGTGTAAAAATATTAAATGATCTATCATTAAATAAAATTAAGTGAAAATATAACGGAGAGGATCTAGATTCTCGATGCTTAATTTTGATCTTCTGGTTTGGTGCCAGGAATGGAGGAGGTAGTGGAGATAATGGAATAAGAGGTAAGTTAAAGAATCAAATCAAGATAACTTTGATTCTTGATACCAAGTCAAAGTTGTAATGTTAGAGCATGTAATGCTTATGCTATTTCATTTTTATCACCTTAAAATTGCCAATAGTATTAAAGTAAAAGATCTTGCACTCGGATCTGATCATTGTCATGATGTACACAATATTCGCACATGTATCGTTTAAAATCCCATCCGCACATAATGGAACAGACAGAAAATATATTTTCTCAAGAGTCTCGCTATTGTAGAGTACGTCAGATATATGCAATCTTACTACTACTGCATATGAAAAGTCTGTTTCTGTGACACAAACACTTGAAACTCAAGTCCCAACAGAACAATCTTACCTAAGAGTCGAGACCCACCGTCAAAAGATAGTAAACATGCACCATAAAAAATATAACACATCTACCGCATGATTAGTTACATCAATATACACCGACTTATATCGATACCTCAAAAACTGAGTTAAATGTAAAATAATTAGTGAAAGCATAGTAGGCAGGACAAACAATTTACTCTAACTGTAATATACAACAACCTTGGGGAAAAAATCAAAAGAATCGATGTAAGGCATAGGCGCAATATTGAGAGTTCCATTGGTCATCGAAGCACTCACTCGTAGCCTCTTCTAGTTTGTCAAAATAAACCTCTTAATGCTTCCGATCACTTGCAACCTGCATCAGAAGAAAAATTTGTTCAGAGAAGTGTATTAAAAACTATAGCACAAATAAGCTAAATGCAAAGAATGAATGTTTCTTCTGGACACTGAATAAATGTTCAATCCGAAATTGACCCTATCGTAAATGGTGACCACAGGATCAACAAAGATAAAAGAACGACACGCCCTGAGGTTTCCTTGATGGTTCAAAAATGCACAAGAAAGTTTTGTTTGTTTGTCCTTCATCAACACTGCTAGCAAATACTTTGAGCAGAAAATTAACTTTCCAGACAAGATTGTATTTGTTCTTGCAATTTAAATAAACATGGCTGTGTACTCACCTCTCCCAATCTTGAGCACCTCATTCCACTATCAGTTCCCATATCTGCAGTAATTTCCTCCTCTTCAATTTCCGCATCAGTGAATGTTAGAGCCCTTTGTAACTTCCTAGGAGAAAACACCTCAACCTCCACCATATATGCGGCAGCCACAGGGCGATGATCAGAAAATCTAAGTTCAGTCCTCTTATAGTTCAATAGCCTCATGCCTTTCCCAAAAGAAAGAATTCGGTCACACCTGAAAGATGAACATGCTTTGCAGTGAAGTTTAATACATCAACATACATTTAAACCAGTGAAAGAATAAAGTTCATTTGGTCATCCCAAATGCAATATGCTTATATGCAGGTTAGGCATAAAAAATATACAAATTTGCTGAATTTTGCTTTGTTGAATCTAAGGTGTAGAGCTGGACAACCATGTTACAAAGATTTCATATCCAGATCATGTTCAAACCAGTAAGGGTTTCGAGGACTTTATTCCCCTGAAACTGTAAACAGGAATTTCAAATCAATAATTCTTGGTGTGAACTTTTCAAATAAAACTTACAATACCTTTTCATGGACATAAGTTTCTCAGAGGCAACCATTGGACCAGATACCTTTTAATTTGATGAATAAATTAATTTGATACCAGTGACAATCTTGTCTATGAACTTACATTTCTCATCATTTATGAAACTCTAGCTTTTGAGAGCTACGTGGATGGAATAGCAGATCTGAGATAGCTCATCAACTTGCAATTCAGCAAGCCTGATAGGCTTGTAGAGGACATTAGTTCCAATGATAGGCTTCTAAAAACTTGGGTTCCACAAAAGCTATTGGGAGATATAAGGAATAGAAGTCTTACAAAGTGAAAATTGACACCACTCACCAGTACACATACATAAATAGATGTTCCTAGACATGAACCAGAGAATACTATAAATGCAATAAACTCATATGGAACATTCCTAGTGCAGTGGTAAAATGCTTGGGCTAATAACCACAAGATTGGCATGCCTATGTGTGCATAAACTCCTTTTGTTTATTGTATCAAAAGAAGTAAGAAATTGATGGTACACACAACAAAGGTATTTTTTGATTGCAGGGAAATTGAGACTGCTAACATAGTGGTGTGCATAGCAGTAATAGGTAAGCAAATATAAACAACACATACAATATTCCAGCACATATATACAAGCTTTTAGGGACAGAACAAAATAGAATATTATTTGCTGATAATATGTTTGATGAAACGTCAGAATTAACAGTACATCAGAATTTTGGAGAAGTGTCTTAGAAAAAAGAGATTCAAGATAAGAAAAATTAAAACTGAATACATGGACTGTAACTTTGGTAAAAGTAGTAATCCAAATTACGCTTAGTAAAGATAGAAAGTCAAAAGATACCAAAAGAGTGAACACCTTTGATATTTGAGGTCAATTAGCCATGGGGGGGGGGGGGTTGGAGAAGATCTTACTCGTCAAATTAAAAATGGTTAGACTAAGAGAAGGAATACATCTTATGTATTATGTAATGGACACATATCTCATGCTCTAACAAAACAAGTACTGTAAGCAACCATTAGACCAACCACGATTTATGGTACCAAATGATGAGCAGGTAAGAAAAAAAATTTCAAAAACTGGGGTTGAAACGCTGGGGCAGAGGCACATATAAACGGTATGGGGGCACTTGCCCCCACCCATCTTTGAGTAAACCACACATACAGTAGTATAAAGATGACCACCTCGCTTAAATTTGATACATTGCCCCTTAGTTTTTTGACAAAAATTTAGAATGGCCTTTTTTTCTTCTTTTTCTACAAGTTACCAATTCATTGCTTTCTAACCCAAAAGTAAATATTTTATTATTGGACTGAATACAACAGATGTGAAATGCCCTAATTGATATGTTTGTCAAATATAATACTTCCTTTATATTTATTACATCGCCACCTTCCATATAAAAGCAATTGCATAGTTAACCATATTTTTTTTTTTTGTATATTTGTCACTTGTAACCAAGTAAAATGCTGTTAAATGCAAAGGCTAAAGAGTGTCTGAACCCAAAAACATTTTTTGCTTTTCTAAAGAATTAATTTATCAATAAGATGATGGTTCATCTCAATTAAGTTTGGAAAAAAATGAAAGAAGATTTTGTTGCAGATTCTTTGATTGTGTGCAATGAAAGAGTACTGCTGAAAAAAATCAGGATTAAGTTAATCAAGTGTAAACGATCTTCGGGATCTGAAAACACACTTATTCCACTATAATATATGAGTGAGTTCAAGTGTACAAAGTATAAATTATTTTTGTGCTTTTGTTGTTCAAATCATAATTTTATCCATGTTTTGACCCTCCGAAACCAAATCTTTGATCCGCCCTGCCAAAATGAGGATGTTAAGATGCATGAGTGGTGACACAAGAAAGGATACCATTAGGAACAAAAGTAGAAGCAACATTAAAGGTGATAATTAAGAGATAATTAGTTCAGATGATGGTTGGATATTTTTATAGGGAACCAATTATATCACCAATGGGTGAGAGTGATTCGATACCTATTACCAGTAATGCGAGTGGTAGTTGGAGTCCGAAATTAAATTCAAAAGAAATAGTAGAAAAAGACTTGGTAGTGGGAAAGATGGCTATTGATAAAGCACAACGATGAAGAAGGATTCATGTAGCCAAACCAACAAAGTTGGGACACGTCTTTGATGATTAATTTTTTTTTTTTGATGATTAAGATTGAGTTATTCATATGTGAGTGCTCACCTTGATGACCCAGTTCAGTTGACAAACAGAAAGTAGTGCAGGACTAGAATTCTAATAAACATTGTAACACTCTCTAGCTTGTTAAATAAATTCATGCCATGTGATTGACAATGTCAAAATACACAGTTAAGATAAATATAAAGATGCACAAATTAAGAAAACAGGAAAAGCTCAACAGATGCTAGCAAAAAAAAAAGGAACAAGAAAATGCTGATTCAAAGATCCAACCTCAAGTAGAAATCCAGTGAACAATATAACAATAAATCAGAGACAAACAAGTTTACGTTATAAGGTGTGTTCAAGTATACGAGGAAACAATTAAGCAACTTGCAATGTGTAATCACAAAAACAGATCTCCATATAGCTCAAGAATACCATGAGAAACAATAAATAGACCAGAAGGCAATTGAAATAGTTGAGACAACCATCATGAGCAAAATTGGAATCAAATTCCAAGAATGAAAAGCAAAAAAAAAATAAAAAATTCTAAAGACATACCATGACGGGGTACGTCTCCCAACCTTTGGATCCTCTCCGTAATACTTCGCTGAATTGAACTCATATTTATAAGTTGGCGGAAAGTTTAAAGTACCTTCAGACCATCCATCAAATGCACAACCTTTTTTCAGCTCTCGTATAAGCTGCAAGACCAGGAAGATGTTAATGTATTCAGCAATGAGACATCAAACCCACTTCATGTGAAACCCATTTGAGTGACATACAAGAATGAGATTGCGCCTTGCTGGGTATCTGTTTTCGATAACATAATAAATTTCATCCCTAGTAGATTCTGGTGCCTTTGCCTCAATTCTGGAGCATAAACACACATGCATACACGGACAGAAATACACACGCAGACAAAAGAGAGAATAACAAGGTGTATTCCTTAAGAAGTTTCTCCATGCATCATGAATGTATCTCCAAGGCCTGAGCACTTCGGCAGCAATACCATTTTGCTTTTGAAACACAGTATTTTAAGGCACTGGAAGACTTCAAGTCCCAATTATCCCAGATACATTTGGCACATAAATTGATGAATATAAATAAAAGAAACCAGGATGAACAAGGTCTCCATCCAGTGTATTAGGGAATCTTTCAACCAAGCACTTGAAACACAAGCAAATTTATCATAGCCACAAACTTCTCAGAGCAAACCATGGCACCGACAAAATTCACACAGACGATTTGTTATGCTTCATAAACAAATTACTGAGAATTCAGTTTGCCATCTCCACTTTAAAGTAAGTCCAGGAAACAGGACATATAGAGGAGGAATTTGAGCTTCCTAAAATGGTACACTCAAAATTTATTTGGTAGTTCAGACCAAGATTAAGAATTTGTCGAACTGAGAGTTTATTAATGAACTAAGGGATAAAAGAAGTTATATGTACCTGATCATTCTCCACCAACTTGGACCAGTCCTTTTTGGAGATTAGCTCTCGTGTTTTCTCATATGACAGATTGATACGGTAATTTAGATCACCAAGCCAGAATATTCTCCTGTTTTATAAGGAAGAGGAAAAAAAAATGAGAATGTTTGATCAACCACTCCAGAGAAAATGGAGATTGATTAAATGTTTTCTTTCTCATTCCGATCCAACTGCTTAATTGAAAAACTGCTAAATGGGGAATATAATAATAATAAAAAAAAATAATGCAAGCGTGCATATTTAAGTGAACAAAAAGACAAGACAACTAAAGGATTCATCTCTTATGCACATACACATCCCCACACACAAATAAAACCTGAGCGAGCCAAATAGAGAGGGTTAGAGAAATTTATCACGAAAGAAGAATGCTGTAAACAGATAAAGCCAGAAAAGAATCAATTAGAAGGTCATGGAAGATGCCCTATACTCACTCATGGTCATGAATGCTTTTAGGAAGTCCAATGCCAGAAAGAGAACTAAATACCGTTCTTCGATGTATTTCACGCACATCAGCATTTCTTTTAACTGCATCCCCATATTTTTCACCTGATGTAAGGTGACTACATACGAAACAGAAAAGCGTCTGATGTATAGACATGCTGACTGATATTGAGCCCTGGAAGATTGAAGAACTCCCATTATATTGGAAGAGATATAATAGATATGTGAAGCGTTTAATGTAATTCAAGGATGAAATGGAATAATCAGAATAAAATATTAAATGAAATTACTGCAACACTAACTATCCACAAACCGAATGCCAAACCAAGGATCAAAATTTTTGTTTCGGTGCATTGTTTTGGTCTCCTATGGAAACGTTTCGAAAAAGAGTGGAAACGAATCCTGCTTCACATATATTTTGGTTATTCACATTGGAAACATGCTGCTTCACATATATTTTGGTTATTCTTACATTGGAAACAATGTTCTGGTCCACAACTATCTTTTCTTGCATCAAATAGTTACATAGGGCCCATAAGTTTACACTTCAAATATGACCATCTTGGGCACAGTCAAGTTTGTTACCACACTTCAAAGTCACATTGCAGTAGCAATGAACATACAGTACATATGTTTTGCAAAAACCTGTCCCTTTGAATTTTTAATGAGATACTCTAGAAACTATATTTTCAGTTAGTGCAGAGTAGTCCCCAGCCAAAACTTTCTGGAGTCCTCAAACAATTAGAACAATTAACTCAAATGAAAAAACTAATGGCAGATGTATCCTATACACAACTAGATATGAAAAATGATATGCAAGTTTTTAATAATTCATAAAATAATGCCGATCCCCACCAAATGTAATTTTTTTTTTAATTTGTTGGCCACTCAAGCTATTAAGATTTTACATAGAACTTACCATGTCAAAATAAGATCCTGAACATGGTGTGAAAAATAGAGTTTTAGTTCAGAGTCCAAAACATACATGTACCCTCACGGTTCAATCAAGTTGTGGTTCATCAAAATGCATCATGCAGCAGTAACCTAGTTTATCGGTGGAGTGGCGCAAGTACTATTCAATGTAAAGGTCAGGAAAAATCTAACAAATGTACATCTTTATGCATAAATCACAAAAAATATATTTGACCCTCAGTGATCATTAATCCTTCAAATATAAACAAACTTTGTTTAATACACAGTCTGAAGGACACAACATTTTGCAAATACTGTGAGAGGAAAACATAAGCCAAAGAGATACTACCTGATTTTCTGATATCCTTGTTCTAGGAATTCAATACTATGATATTCTCTATGGATTATGGGCTAGGTACTTTAGTTACTAGCCGCGGGGAGGGGGGAGGGGTTGACAAGGTACTATCCGTTACTTTTTTATTACCATCAAAATATTGAACTTGACAAGAAAGATTTAATGTTTGTGTTCTTTTCGTTGGCAGAGGTGTGTTTTGCTCGTATTGACAATATGGCATAAGGATTAAAGGGTGGATGCTTTATGTGAATATACTCGGACCATGACATTTGTTTTATGCTTAGTCATCAATCCACCAAGTGAAAAAGAAAATCGGAGGTGGAGGGTAGGTGAAATACAATGACACAAGTTGTCAGAAGCAATCACCAAAATGCAAGTTAACATTAGAAAACAACAAACCTTGTTACCTATGTAGCCCATGACTCCAACACCAACAGCAGACACATTTAAGTTTTGGATATGCTTTCGCAAGCTTCTACGAACCCATATAGTGAGGAAAATCCCAACCATTTGCTTGCTTACTATCCTGACATAGGGAGGTCTTCTTTTTCGATACATGACAGAATCAAGGTCAAGTTCTGCAAGCAAAGCTGTTTTTGATGGCACTCTATTGTGACCATTAATATTTGAGTTGACAGAATTATATCTCGTGAAATATCTGGAAGCTTTGAATGACCTGATGGATTGATGGAATTAGGTTTGTCTAAAACATGCTGAGCCAGCATATCCAGAGGAGGCTCTGGCCAACTTAAACCAATCCTTTCTGTCCCACTTAGTGTCTTTGTTAACATCTTACTGTATCGGGAAACTGATGCTTCTGCATTTTCTGTACAATCATCAGGCCGAAAGCAATTCAACCTGTCAGGTCTTTTTCGAGAAGAAAATTGCCTCTGCAACTCAGAAGCAACTGGCATGCCTAAATTGGTATCACTGCTGGAGACTGAAGTTCGAGCACTTAAAAAATCATTTTCTTCCGTGACTGATCCATCCTGGACTTTATCAGAACCATTAGTTTCTTCATTGATTGCATATAGTTCCTCCTTACCATCACTATCACTTTCGAGTAGTACTTCATCTTCTATATCGGGGCATCCTCAGAGGGCTTAAACCTTGAAGGAGAAGGAGGATCACTGTAGCATTTAAATTTAGGCTTTGCAGGGTGGATGTTGTAAGAGTTTCACGAATGATGCTTTCCCACTT